TAAACAACACACTCTTACATAACCAGCTGAGCGAAGAGAAAAGCAAAAGTAAAATAGAAAATACAGATGAATGAAAACAAAGATACAACATAACAAAACTCTCATGAGGTATAATAAAGTAGTGCTAAGGGGAAAATTCATAGCTATAATTATATTTTTTAAAACTCTCAAATCAATAGCCTAACTTTACAAATTAAAGAACTAAAAATTAAAAAAACAACCTAAACCAAAATCTAGCAGAAAGAATAAACATCATTGTCTTGATAAACTAAAATGATAGAAAAAACAATGTGGAAAATCACTCAAACTAAAAGTTCTTTGAAAAGATCAACAAAATTGACAAGTCTTTAGCTGAATGGACTAAGACATGAAAGAAAGAAAACTCAAATTGCTAAAATCAGGAAAGAAATTAGGGACCTTACTACTAATTATAAAGAAATAAAAAGAATGATAGAGTATAATGAACAATAGTATGTCAAAAACTTGGATAACTTAGATGTACAAGTTCCTAGAAATACAAAACCCATTAAAACTAGACCACAAAGAAATAGACAGACGCAGGCCTGTGCCTACACCGGGAGGGCGTAGCCATCCTTTGGTTCTGGGCTGGGCCCCAAGGCTTGTGTGTTCAAGCCTCAGGCCCCAGGGCAGTGCTGTCTGCAGCTGGGCTCTGGAAACGTGAAGCCATGAGCACTCAGACCCATCAGGAGGAGGTTCATCCAGTGCTGCAGCCATACTTTAATAGTGTTACTGGAAGGTGAGGAAAAGAGGTTCGCCCTAGTTAGAGGAAACAGGTCACAGCGTGCATGTTTTGGAAGGATGGATGGATAGATGACAGACAGACAGACAGACAGACAGACAGACAGACAGACAGACAGACAGATGATAGAGAAATAAAAGATAGGGAGATAGATAGATGATAGATAATCATGACACAGGCCCTCCCTTCCTTCTTTCTCTCCTCCCCACTTCTCTTTTTTCCCCCTCCTTTCTTTCCCTTCCCTCTCCCTGTCTCTCCAGTCTTCCCTCCCTCCCTCTGCTTCTTGCTCTCTAGCGCTGAACAACTCTTCCACCTGCCCCACCACCATGATGTACTGACCACAGGCCAGCGACAGTGAAAGCAGGGACCATAAACTAAAACTACTGAAAGCATGAACACAAAACAAATCTTTCTCCCTTTAAATCGACTTCCTCAAGTGTTCTGTCAGAGTGATGTAAACCTGACTAACTCTAAGACCAAATGAATAATCAAAAGTCTGGCAAAGTAAAGCTCTGGACCCAAAGGCTTCACTGCTAAATCTGCACATTTACAAAACTACCAATCCTTTTGAACTTTCCCAGAAAATCAAATTAAGAATATTTTAAGCCCACCATTATTACTCTGATGCTGAAGTAAAGACACTGCAAGAAAAGAAAATACAGACCAATATCTTCCATGAATACTGAAGTAAAAATTCGGAACTAAACACTAGTAATACTGACTAAACTTAGCAGCACATTAAAAGGACTATAGTGGCATTAATTCCTAGTACAACTATGGTTCAGTATAGACACTGGTCAATGGAACATTCTACATTAACAGAATGAAGAGAAAAGCAACCAAATGATCATCTCAACTGATGCAAAAATTTTTTTTTTCACAAAAATTAGCAGGTTTTTTTTTTCTTTTTGTGATAACATCTCAATATGGTATCTAGGCTGGCCTTGAACTCTTAGTCTTAAGTAATCCCTTGTCTTATTCTCCCAAAGTAGCCTTGAATACACACAGCACCCTGCCCACCTTCAATACATTTTTTTATGATTAAAAAAACTTACAATCTC